GTTGCGAGAGGGAAGAGCGACCCATGTTGCCCTGGATTGTGCAGTTTTTGGGAATCCAAGTGGTATGCAATCGTGCTTCTTAGCATTCTTTCAAAAATTTTTATGATGTGGGACGTTAGAGCTATTGATCTATAGTTCTTAGCTAATGCTTTGCTGCCACCTTTATGGAGTGGGGCTATGTCCGTTGTTTTTAGTGACTGACATTTCACCCATATCTAAGCTCTTTCTCCATAGTATACTCATGGCACGCGAAAAGTTTCTTGTATACTGTAAGTGTGCTGGTGATGGTCATACTGTTAGTGTGCTGGTGGTGGTGATACTGTGAAGGAGTGTATTGGTGGTGATACATACTGACAGTGGCGATAATGTGAAGGGATGTAATGGTGGTGGTGGTGATAATGGCAAGGAATGTATCGGTGGTGGGTGCTAGCGTTTAAATCTTTGGCTCCCAGCCCAGCCTCTCACTTCCTCCCAGACGATGCACTCTCCGTTTACTTGTGGTAGTCAAAAGTAGAATTATTGGTCATGGCTGGTGAATGTTTGCTAAGTGTAGGTACTGCACAATCAGCACAAAATATACTGTTACAGGACAACGTTACTGAATATTTAAAGATTAACGAAGGTATGCGTATCGAATACAAAGACAAATTTATTGTTAAGAAAAAGAATACTTAATGGGATTAGTAAGCCTCAGGGGTATCAGTTCAGAACAACCCAAAGAAGCCAAGCGGAGTGGCTTATTTCCATTAAATTACATTGAGTTCTTTTTTCCACGATATGACCCACATCAGCCAACTAACACCTTGACAACAGTAAAGGGCCCTTAGTTTAGGGAACTGAAGCTACACTTTACTTCCTTGGATCAACCATGAATACCTCCCGTTCCCAAGAATTGTATGATCTGGGTTCAATCTTAGCACAGTCGGAAATGGTGGGAATGTTTTCTTATATCTGTCGCCCCAGCTCACCTAGCAGTAAGTTAGAAGACTCCTGTGGGTCGCATCCTGAGAAGAATCAAAGGACTTCAACGGAAAATAAGTCATAAGTAACTTAACGGGTTATCTTGGGTTAATAAACCTATTGAAATCTTGTATCCCTACAAGTTAGCACTTCCCACATGTAATAATTACTAGGTAACAGGGGCATTAAGTAATATCTTAATTTCTACAAGTACTTGTACAAGGTATACAGACCATAGTTGACATCAATGACATACTACTATATAGAAAACCGTTCGTTATGCTGAGCATTTCGGGCAAATTAGGTCAGTTTTGTCCCAGGATGCGACCCACACCAGTCCACTAACACCCAGGTACCCATTTTATACTGATGGGTGAACAGGGACAACAGGTGTTTTATGGAAACACGTCCCTAATGTTTTCCAGCCGTACCGGAGATTCGAGCTCAGTGCGTGAGCTGAGTGCGTTAGCAATCGAGCTACGGGACACCCAGTATTTGGAGACTTGCCCATACCTAGCCACGAAGGTCGATGACTCTAGGAATCACCCCACAGAAAATACCAGAGTTCCTGTCTTGAAATTAACGGTCGGAGCATCAAGCCTCCGTCACTCCTCGAGCGGAGACTTATCGGGAATTAAGCACAGTACCTACTATCATTTTTTCTGGTATTTGACAAGTACAGTAGAGGTAACATTCAGCTCTTGAATTATTAAAGGAAAACGCTAAACCGGTATGGGTCACAGCGCCTGGCGATGAGTCAATCATGTTCGATCCAAGGAGGAGGGCAGGTTCAATTCCCTGAATCAAGAGCCCCCTCGCCGGCATATAGGAACCTCTCTTGAGGGATCTTTATTTTAGTAATGAGAAAGCGTTAAACCCATACGTCGTACAGCGCCAAGGGAGAATGTAAGGTAATCAGGTAGGAAGCAATGGAGGATAGTTACAGTTCCTTGAATGAAGACTCCTTCACGGGCATCGAGGTATCCCCCTTCCCCTCCCTTAAGGCGCGCTCGCTCTCTCAATACTCTACATTTTTAACATTCCAGGGAGCACTATTTTACTTCGCCCCGTCAACCCCGGAAGTAAGCTCCATTCGGGTTAAATTTACAATTTTTTTTAACTATTTGAAATTTCTGCAAATTTCGTGTAAAGAACCGACATACTGGCACACAGTGGTAATAAATTATTCGGATTTAATCAAGGATAACCCATTAAAGTCATAGTAACAGAGTTGTGTTTACATTGAGCTCATGTAGCAGGTATCTTAGTCAACTTGTGTGTGCTGATAGCGCAGAATTGTGTTATTCAGCAGTCGAATGTTACCGTACATGAATTACATTTAGAAACTTCCCTAGGTGCCAGATCAACCAGGCTGTGACGGATATGTGGGTCAACGAGTCACCAGCAGCAACAGCCTGGTTGACCAGGAAAGCACCAAACGAGCCTGGCCCATGACCGGGCTCAGGGAGTAGGAAAACTCTCGGAATTCATCGAAAGTAAAGATAAAAGAATGGAAAAAATAAAATATTGGTTATTAATGATACACAAACGTTTAGAAGTTTCATTGCTCAGTGGTAAATTTTTATACAACAGAAAAAAATACAATGGTTTTGAGGACATGTTATGTGCACAAAAAGTATATTATTTACATTTAAGCTAAGATTAAGTCCAACAATGTGACTTTCTCATTCTTTCGACTCAACCGGAAAAGATCCGGTTCAAAACTAGCGAGTGGTGAGATGTATACCTTGAGTATACATCAATGTCCCCGCGGCCTGGTCCATGACCCGGTCTCTATACATCTGTTGCCCTTTTGCAATTAGCACTGAGTCTGGAACTTGCCTATGGGACCAAACGCAAGTAAGCCACTTGGCATTCTTTGGTTATCCTACATTATTAACCTTCTGGTTTTAATAATCCGAATCGTTTTATAGTTTTGGCAATGGGAATATCAAACTAAGGACGCAAAACCTACAGTGTCGAGACCTCCCTAGCTACGTCTGCCCAACGACTATACGACGTTGAGCACACTGCTACTCTTCTGATCAGCGAAGTTATGTAGCCTAAAATTTGGTTGGTACCTGGGAATACCAATTGCTGCTAGCACATACTTTCAAGGACCCCACTGGAAATAAGTCACATTAGCTTGATCGGGTTATTTATGGTTAAATTCTGCGTAATTTACTAAAATAAAAACATTGTAAAAGCTTAAAGTTAGGTCCTAAGCCTAAATATAACTTATTGATCCATTTATTGGCTTAGTCAACGGTGCTTGACATTACTAGGCAAGGGATGCATGAATTACGTACATGCATATTTCATGTTGTTCGTTGCTGTGTACTTCCTTGACGACCAAGATTCCATTTTACAATTTAATGACCCTTTTTTTTAAAGAAATAACATATATCTGCTAAAGATTTGAAACATTTTCCAAATATTGTTGGATAGCATTACTCTTATTAGCTAACTTTAAAGATGTAATGTATGGTTGGGTGTTTGGTGTAAAGACTATCGACTACCAGAATCATTGCCTAAATTTGGCCAAAGCTACTTTTAATCAATAAAACGGGGTTTCTTCGAAATATTTGTTTGTCTACTTTTACACAGTGCTGTTTAAAATTTATACAAGCTGGATTATAAGTTTATTTGGGTATAAGTTTACACAATTTTTGAACGATTACAACTCTCTTACATAGTAACGTGCGTAAATTACCTAGGATAAACCTAAACAAGTCTGACTTATTTCCACTGGTGGTATTATTATTATTATTATTATTATTATTATTATTATCAAAAAGAAACGCTAAATCCACTGGTGGTAAATTATTTGGATTTAACCTGGGAATTAAAGATAAATATCATATATAGGTAATTATGAAAATCTGGTACTTATGTGTTTGAAGATTTCTGACATGTCTAATATTAGGTTGGTTTTGTCATGGGCATTGTTCAGTGGACATAGTTTTATGGAAACAAACACATATGCAGTTTAATGTGATCCTTTATTGACAACGTTTCGCCCACACAGTGGGCTTTTTCAAGTCACAAACAGATCTACCTGGGGTGGAAGGTAAAGGATCACATTAAACTGCATGTGTGTTTATGTTTCCATTGTGTCGGTATTTTATACAAATTATTTTCATTGGACATTGTTTTATGTTGTACAGATTCATGAAACGTAAAATGATCTAGTAAATTTATGTAAGCACAATCATCATACATAGTAACGTGTAAATTACCTAGGATAACAAAAAAAAAAAGTCAGTGACTTATTTCCATTCGGGGGCTAACGAAACTCAACCTTAAATAACCTAACCTAACTCAACCTTACTCAGCCAGCGGTAGGTATGGGGCTGGCGTGTCTTTGTTTACGTTCACTATTATTGGCCAGAAGTGTCAATACTAACCGTTGATTGGCCCTGACGTGCTGCCAGTCAGTAAGTTTATTTTGGCACGGGTACATATAAGTACAATTATCAAAGTGTAAATTACCCAGGGTAACCCAAAATATAATTTTATTTAGGCACAGGTACACATAAGTACATTATTATTACTATAATAAAAAAGGAGCGCTAAACCACAAAGGCTATACAGCGACACATAAGTATCATAGTGTAAATTACCCAGAATAAACCAAAAAATGTACAAGTGACATTTTTCTCTCAAAAAAAAAATTGCATAAGAAATAATTTGTACCGGGGGATAGACAGCATTTTAATAAAGAACATAATACGTCATTTCTTAATTAAAAGAACCTGCTCTGTATATTAGGCCAATTATTTTCATTGAGAAAGCTATTATACGTGTTGACCTGATTCCAAATTTTTTGATGCTATTTTCAATATAATCTATCTTGAAGGCATTGTATAATTATTCATTGAGAAGTGCTAAACCCGCATTCATGGAGAAGCGCTAAACCCGCAAAGGTCATAGAGTGCTTGGAGGAAAAGATAATCAAGTTTGGAGTGAATAGCCTCAGTTCCTCGGATCAAAAGCCCTTCACCAGGGTGGCTGGAGAGAGAATACATCCTTGAACTGACCTTGAACTTGTCATAGGCTGTGTTCAGTTCAAGGCGGTGAACAAATGGGTTAAGCAGCTGAGATGTCTCTTCAATAAGCGGGGCTCGCTGCTCCCCGCCCTCCTCACTCATGTTACACATCGAGTTGATCTCAATATTAAAAAAAATCCCACGAGAGATGAATCTTCTCCACTACTCTCACTCTAGACACTTGCTGCTACCATGAATTTCGATCAGTCGTCAACTGCTTCCATTTGGCAACTATTCTGCTGAAAGTCTCTCGTATTCTCTCAGTTATAAACTGGTGAATATCAAGCGTTTTAAATAAACAGTTAGAATCGAGGGAGGAACCAGGGAGATAACACAACCTCCCACCTGCAACACTCATTGACAACTGACTCTTAGTTCACGTTATGCTGCTGCTGCTGCTGCTGCTGCAGCTCTTCGCGCTGTTCCTGTGCGCACCCGCACCCACCACCTGTCATGGCTACACTACGTAGTCTTATCTCTTTTAAAGGCAAATGCAACTGGCTTAAGTTAGATGTATTAGGTTATTAGGCCGGTTAGTTTGTTTTCTTTAAAGGTAATCGACTGTACGTAGGTCATTAACGCTGCAGTTCACTTGTATACTAAGAATACTATAACATCTACAACAGGTGTTAATCTCTCAGTGTACACTATATACACCCAGATATAGACATATATAGGGGGATATATCAAGTATGTCAGTTAAATAAGACAAATTTATTCTCTAGTGATAATAGCTCAAATCTTTATAATCACGTAACTCTGATGTAGACATATGATTTTAGAGAATAAATAAACATTTTAATTCATTATACCCCGTTACATTATAGAGATTGACTGCCAGTTGTTTTATTTTAATTCATCAAAAGATTAGAACCAAATTTCCCCTCCAGATAAAAGAATCCGACCCTACATACAATTAAGAACAGTTTCAAGTCTTATTATTTACAGGGTTGGATCCTCTTAACATCCTCACTGATGTAAACAAATCTGGCTCAAGGACTACTGGCTATGTACGTATATATTTTTATTCGAAAATTTGGAACAACCAAAGTTTTTAACCTAGATGTATTCTACCTCAAACTACAGCCAAAATTCATAACCCGAGTCTACGTCTTCGTGGTGTGTAGAACAAGTTTTATTCAAGTTAAATATATGATTGCACAATTTTTTTTTTTTAACTTTCTTTAAAATATAGATTAAGCACATGATTATTTTAGTCATACATTTGTGATAAATGATGAAAACTTAATCGAGGATAACCCAGTATAGGCATATAGTTTGCTTTATTTCCATTAGTGACTTGTATAGTCTAACTAAACTTAAGTTTCTATTAATACCTGTAAGTCACTTCGACTTTTTTTGGGTTATCCTAGGTAATTTACACAGGTACTTATGTGTACCTGTGCCTAAGTAAACTTAATGCTATTTGTTAGATCCTTAAAAAATATATCTATGTGGATATTAAAATTAGTCAAAAGTTTTGCCTAAAATGCTGACCATTCTATGGTACTCAAGTTATTGTATGTTTTATGCAATGGTTTGGTGATATTAGGTTAAATTATGTATAATGTAAATAAGCTTCTTTAGGTACAAGTACACATAAGGACAATGATCACACATACCAACATGTTAATTACCTAGGGTCCTTCATGTATTATATATGATCGTTGTAAGTTTAAATGGTAGTAGTGGAAGCCTGCTCCTCTGAGGATTTTGGATATTTATAGTATGAAATGTACAATGTTGATTTTACACTTGAACTGAGCCCCGTGGCCTGGTGGCAAAAGTTCTTGCTTCACACGGTCAGGGTCCGGGTTTGATTCCTGGTGAAGGGGTGGAAACATTGGACGTGTTTCCTTACACCGATTGTCTACGTTCACCCATCAGTAAAATGGGTACTTGGGTGTTAGTCGACTGGTGTGAGTTGCATCCTGGGACAAAACTGGCCTAATTTGTCCGAAATGCTCTGATAATAAGCGGCTTTCTATATAGTAGTACATGCATGTCATTGATGTCAGCTAGGCCTGTATACCATGTATATGTACTTGTAGTAAATAAAGATATAACAACACCCACCTAACCCATTGTATGAAACCACACTGACTCCACATACTACATTATTACATTTTTTGCTGCTTTATGAACCATACAGGTTTAGCACTTGTTTTTAAATATAATGGTAATAAAACTGTAATAATTAAATTTTAACACTGTATTATCTCCTTAAGTTCACATATATTCATTCCTTAGTATAAACCTTGGTGATTGATACTGATATTAGAAAACATTATGTCCTAGTGTTTACCTGTTTCTTTTTAATACTCACAATTTCTGTGGCCTGGTGGCTAAAGCTCCCGCTTCACACACGGAGGGCCCGGGTTCGATTCCCGGCGGGTGGAAACATTCCGACACGTTTCCTTACACCTGTTGTCCTGTTCACCTAGCAGCAAATAGGTACCTGGGTGTTAGTCGACTGGTGTGGGTCGCATCCTGGGGGACAAGATTAAGGACCCCAATGGAAATAAGTTAGACAGTCCTCGATGACGCACTGACTTTCTTGGGTTATCCTGGGTGGCTAACCCTCCGGGGTTAAAAATCCGAACGAAATCTTATCTTATCTTATCTTATCTTACAATAATGATAATATATTTACCCTTATCAGAATAAAGATATGATAGTCACTTAATAGTGCTATACAAAGAAATTTTTAGTTAAATCAGTCTGTAGCTATGCTCAGCATTAGGCAGTGTCACTGACTCTTTAAATTTCCAACGTTAGCAAATTACCCACACCACACGATCACCGACTTGTAAAATGTTACCAAATATAACCATAAGTTATCAAATAACCTATTTATTGCTTGCATTAGGTTATGTTAGGTTACTGATTGGCAATAGTTTTGCTAAATTTATACACAGGAGAAAATATTAGACACATCTGACTGATTGAAGACATGGGAAAGTTGCTAGGATCACTTGCATTTCTCTGTTACTGTAGCTAGTAAGTTTATTATGGCACAGGTACACATAAGTACAATTATCATACATAGTGTAAACTACTTACGCACAGTTGTAGATCTGTTAAATATACAAAGCTTTAAGGGAGTTAGTTACATCAATACTTGCAGATGGCTCTTGATCCAAGGAATTGGAGCTACCCTCCCCTTTCTGAAATCAGACTTGATTACCCCCATGATCCAAACTGTATGACCATTTTGATAGGTGGGAAGTCCTGTGCCTGTGCTCTGAAAAAAGGATGAAGTTGTAGTTCAAAAAGTCATTGAACAGTGATGTCTGCATGCTTCTGGCAAGACAGCAATTGAAGGAATGACACTGAATCTAATTTCTCATTTTGGGTCACCCTAACTTGGTGGGAGATGCTTGATGTGTTAAAAATATGTACAGTGATACCTCTCATATCCGAACTATATGGGCCGAGACTGGTTCGGAAACATGGAGTTTCTGGATATGTGAGGGGGAAAAAATGCACATCTGTACCATCATATCGTCATCCATACCCCATCATATTGCCATTGGCGACTGCGTTGTAGGTTTAAAAAACGAGTTCAACATCGTCTGACAGTAAGACCAGACACTCTGGGCTCGAATAACAGCCTCCTGGATTTCATGGACCACAGGACCATAGCTTTTCAAATGGGCTGTGGACAGTGGATGCTCCAAATACTCCAAAAGTGCTTTGACATCTGTTGCTGAACTTTTTGGTCTTGGAGGCATTGGGTTGTCGTTGTCACTTTTGGAATGTTCCGGGTGCAACACTAATTCTTCAATCTCTGCATCCGTCAGAGATTGCACACACCAGGGTCGTCTTCGTAACACTAGCCAATCCTGCACGTCATCTTCTATGTTTTTTTTCCCCAGCCTTGGACCAACCTGTATCCACGGGCAACAATATTTCCCTCTTTTTTTTTTTTTTTTTAAGTAAGCACATTCTTCCCCTCTTTGGTGCCATACACAAAACACAGCTGTAATAATGCTAAAGAAGGAGAGGAACCGCCACAAACTTGCTTCCGACTGCACCGCCATTATGCGCACCTGTTCGGTTAGGAGACAATAGCGGGACTGAGAACAGTGGGTGTCGAGGGTGGTGAAGAGCATGGCTCCTACTGGCCAACAGGTACACTAAAGTGCACACCAAATTTGATTCAGCCTTCTATCCGAATGGCTGTTCAGATGTCTTGGTAATAATTTTAGAATTTTTCCCTTTCCCAGGGCCGGTTCGGACATTGGTGAGGTTCAGATAATGGCAGGCCAGATATGCAAGGTATCACTCTATATACTGTACATGTGTATATATTTTCAGGACTAAACTGAAATACAAACCCATACTTTACTCCTCTGCAGTGCTATTTTCATTATTTAAGGACACAGGATACATTAATTTGTTCCCCTATGGCACTACTGTACTGTAGTGAGTACTCTTGCAAAACAAAACAAAAAATTATATAATAAAATTATTCTTGGCAGATGAGACGTTGTACAGCAGAAATGAATATGAACCACCACAGCCAAAATCGGTTGGTGAATGAATCAGTTTCTTAATGTTTTGTCTGTGGAAATGTGTACATGTTTTCTGCATCTGCAAGTTAGGCTCAGAGCCTAACTTAAGCCTCCTAGCTCCAATCTAACATTAGCTATTTGTAATGTAGCATCTCATTTTAGTAGTCATTATTGAGGTTTTAATGCATTCGCTGTTTCCTACAAAGGGAGGGTGACCCAGCATAGGAAACACATTCACCTTCAGTTGTAGTACATCTGGATTATAGCTGAAAGTACCCAAGTTAAACCTTGGGTCAGGAGAAACATATGGGAGTTAGTCATCTGTTGAGGTTGCATCGTTGGGGAGGACTTAAAAAAAAAAAGACCCTAATGATACTCACCCATTCTGTTCTTGGCTTCTTGGGTTGTCCTGAGTTAGTAACCCTTGGAGTTATCTTTCTAGAAGTGCACAGGCATCACAATACTTGTTATATAAAAAATACATGACTATAAGGTGTCTTCAAATAGTAGGCAAATGAGGTGGATAATGTGACTGGCTAGGCCTGCCTAAGGATAATATGCAGTGTATTTCAAGTGGTATTCAATCAGTATTATTTCTTAATTTTTTTTATTTTCATTTCCTCTTTGTATACTGGTCAACAGATGAGGCCAATATTTTTATCCTTTATCTGTGTGCCTTTTTTTTTGGGTTGACCCTGGTATATGGATAACTGTTGGTCATTCTGTCAAGCAACCACCATACTTGGAGCTTCACTTGACTTCTAAGAGGCAGCGAATCCATCCTGTGTTCCTGCTTATCATCATGCTTTTTGCTTCATATATCTTTTAGAGGCTTGTTCTACATCATCAGCCTTCCCAGAGCACATATGCCACAGTAGACAAGTGAATTTAGATGTATAGATGAAAACTCAAACTTAAAGTTTAGTTTAATATGTTTATTATGCACCCCATACCCATCCTGTGGGCGGTAGTCAAAAGATTACAGAGGTACATAATTGGTCCAGGGACTGGACTCCAAAGTTTTGATAGCTGAGCAAGTTACAATGGTAATGAACTAGATCTGGTCATAATCATGACCAAGTTACAAAGGTAATGAGCTCCAGGTAGAGCTGGTCACACTCATGAATAATTGCAAAGGTAATGAATCATAAACACATTAATCATGAGAATTTACAAAGGTAATGAGCTCCAGGTAGAGCTGGTCAAAATCATGACAAGTTTCAAAGGTAATGAATGATAAACACGTTATCACATGATTACAATCATAGACAAATTACAGAGTAATGAGCAGTTAACAAACATAGCAGGGAATTCATCCATTGCCCCAACAACAGATGTTGCTAGGTGCCTGTCTCTCCTCGGTAGACAGCCATTGCAAACAGCAGCAAGTTGCCCCGGGATCTGCTGCTTGCACGAGCACCATCGACCCTCCCCAAGAGGTCCAAGAAGCCAGTGACTCCGTTAGCAGCCCGATGCAGAGCTCCCCTAGGGACATGTCAGCGTCCTGGTGGACGCCAAGTTGATTGAAGATCCCAGGCCCTCGTGTGCACGGATGTTGAAGCTTAAGGAACTGAGTACACACTGCCTGTGGCACACCTGGCAGCTGCCTTGCGGCCGAACTCCACGATGCTGTCCCTGTAGTGGAAGTTCCTGTGAGCCCGGCACTCCCTGCAGTGCCATCGCTGACATCGTGGGTTAGGGGAGAAGCACCCTCTACAGATGGGGTGGCGCTGGGAGTTGGGTGGGTGAGGCGGGGACTGGGCAGGGGTGAGGCGTTATGAGAGGGTCACTGTTTACTACACACGCCCTCCCCCTCCCCCCCAGCGGAGAGGGGGGGAGGCGCTGACTGGTCCTGACTCGACAACACCAAATCCTCTGAAACTGCACAACACTTCAACTATTTAAGCTGAAACGATGCACTGGGATGTCCGTTCGCTGCTTTGGTATCTTCTCAAAGCATTCACACTGAGTTCTGTTAAGTAGGGACCTGGTCAGCCTCTTTGACCAGGAGCTATCCTTGAAAATCCCGCAGCTAGCCCGCTACACAACCTGCCGCCTGTAGGTCTATCCGGGAACTGTCAAACTTAAAGACTCCACAATTCTTGAGAAAACATCACAATTGGAGCACAAAATTTCTGAATCCAAGCAGTCGACAAGGTGACCAATCAGACTAACTCACTGCTCATGCATGGTACAGTATTTTTTTTTTTTTTTGTACCCACCACCACAGTTCCAAGTACCATCAGGCATGTTCAGTAACATGTCAGTGTGCTGCAATTGTTGTAGCTTGTGGATTTGGCAGTTCAGTTCTTCTGTAGGGTTTTGTGGTGTTGCACAGCAAGAATTACGTGTACTGTAACCTCTTAGATTGCATTCGTGTGCGGTTACTCAGCATCCTTATAATTTCACAGCTTTACAAAATCAGTTCATTACTTATGTTATCATTAGCCATTTTGTGAGGACGATATTTTGGTAGTACTGTACCATGACTGGTGAATGGAAGATGATGATGATTACTAATGGCTTCATTCACTGGTGGTGTGATCATCACTAGTTCTTGTAGCAGTTATGCCATTCCCTAAGGATAATGAAAGTGCATATAATGCTCTAAAATTATGAAAATGTAAATTATCTTTCCTTTTCTGTGCATACTGTACAGTTATGGTAATTAATGGGCAGTAGTGCTTGTTGAGGTTTAACCCTTAAACTGTCGAAACATAGATCTATGTTCACATGCGTAGCGCTCCAGCCTTGATTTTCCCCATTTGAAAGCATGTAAAAAAAAAAAAACGTAGATCTACGTTCGGAGTCCCCTGCACATGGACATAGAAGGGTTTAAGTTTAAGGGTTAAGGGTCATCAGTGAATTCTACACTGAACCCTGCCTTCTGGTATATGGAAGGAAATATTGCCCAAATATGGGTAGTAATTTTGAAAGGAAAAAATGTTAGCTCTAGTTAATTTACTCATTTTGTTTTGGTATACAGTACAGTACAGAATATGATATAATACATACCATAATACGTACATGTACTTTAACAGCATTTCATCTAAAAAGGAAAAATCTACCACCAAACTTTACTTGCTTCTATGACCCATGGAAGTCATAAACAGTATGTATTTGTTATACTGTACTTTATTTACCGCCACTTTTGTTTCCTATTCTTACCATTACTTTCATTGAATACATTTTTGTTATTAACATTTTGTTTTTCTATTCCCCCCTCCCCCACAGAGTAAAGTACTTTTAATTGTACTGTATTGTACAGGACTTCTCTCTGTCTTCACTTAATAAATACCCTTGCAAACACTTAATATGCAGTATACAACTTTCTCATGGTTCACTATTTTCTTTCTTCATTTCATCACAAACAAGTGATATATTTTTTTCAAAATTATGAATTTCTAATTTAAAACAAAATATGTACTTATCATCTCATATGCACTTAAACAAAGGCTGATTATATATGTACAGCTGTGGTGTTTATTATTGGTATACTGAAAGCATATTGTATTAACTAGTACAGAGCAAACAACACTGCGAAAGCAACTGTGGCTAATTAGAAACATCTCTTACAGTGTCGAGATGGCTAGTTAAGACATCAGTGAAGAGAAGCAGAGGTGACCTGAATCAACACCTGTGTTATACTCTTCAAAATGCTGTCTAACTCCCGCAAAAAGGATACAACAGCTAGTTGTGACAGCCTTGTTGGAAAATACATCAAGAAAGACTCTCCTCCAGAGGTGCCCATTATTAATGTTTGGCCGAATGCAAATCAAAACGACATGAGAAAAAGAAAAAGCACCATCACCCCACCATATGTTAGCAGCAGCAACCCACCATCTCATCAATCCTCACCAATGGTCCAAAAATACTCTACTAGCTCAAGAGCGCCATTAAATGGCATGTCTCATGGAGGAACTGAAGGAAAATACACACCTAATGTTGGAGAAGTTGTACAGCATTTAGGTGGCATGTACTTAGGGAGTAGAGGCAGTTTAGATGGATTGCTGAAGCAACAGGCACCTTCTTCACCAGCTATGTTTAATCATACATTTATTAATCATTATACTGGTTCCCAACACAGCCTGGACCAAATTTTATATGGTCCGAATCATATTAGGTCTCCTTTAGATCAGACACCACAGGGTGTATGCTATTCCTTCTTAGTGCAGTCAGGACAAAATCAATTATCTCAGTCCAATACTCACATGGGAAGTGGATCACCTCAGCCTCCCTCTCCAAGATTAGAGCAAGAACTACCACTTCCTCCTGGTTGGTCTGTTGATTATACATTAAGAGGTCGCAAGTACTACATTGATCATAACACAAAGACAACACATTGGTCACATCCTTTAGAGAAAGAGGGATTACCAGCTGGATGGGAGCGAATTGAGTCTCTTGAACATGGCGTTTACTATGTAAACCATATTACCCGACAAGCTCAGTATGAACACCCATGTGCACAGCAGTATCTTCCAAGAATTCCAGAGAATACTGTTTTAGGACCCCACAGAGCCCTGCCCATTCCACACCATACTGATTTTCGTCAGCCTTTATCTTTGATGCCAGCTTCTCCGTACTTGCATGAAGAGATACCTTACTGGCTCCGTGTCTATTCTCAAGCATCTCCTGATCATGACCACAAGTTAAGATGGGAACTTTTCCGGCTCCCTGAGCTTGACTGTTATCAAGCTATGTTAAATAGACTTTTTAAACATGAGCTTCACGGTATTGTCATGAGCTATGAAATGTATCGTATTGCATTAACCCGTGAAATTGAGCGAAGAATGCAACAGATGAACCTGCCGTCTGGAGCAGGAAGTGGTGCTGGAGTAACTATTACAGAAATAAGTGAAGATGATGCTCATAGTGAGAATGTCTCTACACCAGAACATTTCAAGCAGCAGATACTAAATGCTGACAACTTATTTGAATCCAAAGTGTAATATTTGCCAAAACTTGTATGATGTGCACATAGTGGTTCTAGTGTGATTAACTTCCTCAATATGTTTGGGGACTGTATGGCTTTTTTTGTGGCAGCTTTTCAGTGGGGAAACTGTTAGTGTCACGTAGAAATTTATTATAGTCTTGCCTGTGATCTCTAGGTTCTAATCTGATGTTTGGCTGTGCATAGTAAAGTATTAGTTTCTGGTGTTGCACCTGTTTCTCTTTCTATTACCAAAGATAAGAAAAACCCTTGATGGGGCATTTTGCTTTTATATGCTTCTTGTGGTATTGCTCATGTGACCTGTCAAAGCTGCACCATTTGATGTTTGGGGTGAGTCAGATTTATTCTTGCTCTTCTTTGTTTTAAGCTTATGATTACAACTAGCTTTGGTTTGCTCTACGTATTATATTCAATTTTTGCACTAATAGCTTAAAATTTTCCAAAGTTATTTCTAAGTTTGTCCTTTGTTATGCACCTCTCTCTCTACTCAAAAAACAAAAATTATGCATTTTATTGTAGTATTTTCTTTCTTTAAAGAAGAGCATTCCATTTGGTAACTAATGTAATTGATCAATAAATGTTTTCAGATCAATCTTGGACTTTCATGGTCTACAAAGTATTGCTTAGATACAGTATAAAGAATAATTATATTATAGGTATCTTATAGCAACAGCAACAACACTTTTGGTCCACTAGTCAATTCTTTCATTCAAATTCTGAAGCGTTTTATGCTCTTTCTTAACAACAAACTACATAAGCTAAAGAAAGTAAATTAATAGTGTATTGTTCCTCTTGTTCTGTTAGAAGTGTTAGAATTATGTACAGTATTCATAAAGATAAATATATTTATGATAAAAGGGAGAAAGATCAGTAAGACCTCGATTTTTGTAAGAGATGTGTTTAGGAGAACTGTGGTAAAGCAAAGTAAACACAATATATTGTTGAGAAACTGGTTGCTTTCCAAACACTTTTAATAGTCGCAATTTTTCACTATCAGTTTACAATGTATACTTATATAAAATGTACCTCTGAAGGGAGACTCCTTGAACCTGCCCTTCCCTACTTTGGATCAAACCCGATTGCCTCCCATTAACCCCAAGCATTATACGAGTCAAGTGAGCTTAGTGCCCCTGTCATAAATATAATAATAATAATAATCATATAAGAAATTATATCATAATTTGTGTAATATTTTATGCATCAGTATGTAGTACAAATTATAAATACATCTGATACAAAAGAAAAAAAATCAAAATGTTTTACATTAATACAGAAAACTTAAATAAAATTCACATGTATACCAATAGAATGAGAGTCCATGAAACATGCATCAGACATTCATGAAACAAATATTGATGCATTTCATAAAAGATTTATGTAAAATTGAAGTACTGTTCATTTTTATATCAACATAGGCTACTTGTTAATAGTGAATTTTCAGGTATGTACATCAATACAGTCTTGGGTGTTTTCACCACAGATAATGCCATAGTAATGCCTGAAAAAAACCTAGTTGCAAATAATGGGCTTACATGCACATGTACATGCACTTACTCACTGTATAGGTAACTAACTAGCTTGTGATATTTGAATATATACACAGAACTTGTGGATATGAAGGGAGTACATAGTATACAGCCTCTCTTCACGTCGGTAAACAAATTTGTCGCTAAGCAAGGAGCATACTATAATGGTAGTGGGTTTGTGTCAGCCATCTTTGATATTATTTTAATGTCACCTTTGCAGCATATATAAGATTTTTAGTATATTTTTAAATGTTTATACAGTAGTGTACTGTATATTGTCATAAACAAGATAAAAGAAATCAGCTCTAATATACATTATTTAGGTATGCATACTGGTCAGAGAGCCCATCATAAGTCCAAGTCGTCAGTATACAAGTACGTCGCTAAGTGAAGAGAGGCTGTACATTTAGTTACCTTAATTAGGTGAAATCTATTGTCTTATAATCTTCAACTGAAAAATTATGGTTTGATGGTTTCTATACAAAATGGTGCATACATATAGTATTTGTTCATTCATACATTTGAAAAAACACCTTTATATTATTTACATGGCACAGTGCATGCAAAATTAACTTTAATAATTAATTATAAAAGATGTCTATTTGCAGCATAAGAAAGCATTCTGCTGTTACATGTAAAACTTGATACTACATTTAAATTTTACTTCTTAATATTAAGCAATTAATTTTTGTTTCCATAGATGGGAAAAGTCTTAGTACAACCTGTGTCTCAATCTAAGTGGGTAGAGAATTTAGCCTTCACCACTCCTTGCACTTAATATCGTGCATAGGTTTAGTGTTTTGCAACCCACACATGTCCTGCATGCGGGTTATCGTATGTGCGGCTCATCCTGCACTGTACTATTATCTGGATTTCAAGCTAGCTGGTGTATCCCCTATATCAGTGAAATTTTTTTTATTTTTTATTATTAACACGTCCGTTTCCCACCAAGGCAGGGTGGCCCGAAAAAGAAAAACTTTCATCATCACTCACTCCATCACTGTCTTGCCAGAGGCATGTTTACACTACAGTTATAAAACTGTAACATTAACACCCCTCCTTCAGAGTGACAGCACTGTACTTCCCATCTCCAGGAATCAAGTCTGGCCCGCCGGCTTCCCTGAATCCCTTCACAAACGTTACCTTGCTTTCACTCCAACAGCACGTCAAGTCCCAAAAACCATTTGTCTCCATTTGCTCCTATCTAACACGCTCACGTATGCTTGCTGGAAGTCCAAGCCTCTTGCACACAAAACCTCCTTTAACCCCCACCATCCAACCTTTCCTAGGCCGACCCCTACCCTGCCTTCCCTCCACTACAGATTTATACACTCTTGAAGTCATTCTATTTCGTTCCATCCTCTCTACATGTCCAAACCATCTCAATAACCCCTCCTTAGCCCTCTGGATAATAGTTTTGGTAATCCCACACCTTCTAATCTCCAAACTACGGATTCTCTGCATTATATTTACACCACACATTGCCCTCAAACATGACATCTCCACTGCCTCCAGCCTTCTCCTTGTTGCAACATTCACAACCCATAGGTGTATAGTGCATACACAGTGGTCATTTTTCCTTAAAATATGTCTCTAACAGTATTAATATTCAGTCTCATAAAAACTTAATGAAACAGATATTTGGTCTGGGAAGATCCTTTGTTCATATTTCAGTTTTCTCAAGGAAAGTACGTACCTTAGTGCCAGTAAAGGGCTCTTGATTCCAGAAAGTGGACTAATTCTCCTCTTCCTTTGTTCAAAACTGATCATCTTCCATTACCCATGCATTGTATAGCCCCTATGGGTTTAGTGTTTCCCTGATTATAATAATAACAATTATTATTTGTAAATATATTCTGTGGATGGTTTTGATTTTTAGATGCAGTCACCACAATTTTAGTGGGTCACTTTCACAACCTTTTTGACTATATTTCCTTTATTATGAATTTTATGGTGTTAATATTGAAATTCAGAAAAAGCAGTAAGAAGAGTTTATTGTGGATAGATTAGATTTTGCCACCAAAGTGGTTAGTTTATTGTTCACCCCATGTCCATCCGGTGGACAGTATCACAAGAGGATATGGATACACAAAAGGCCTAGAAATTAGGCCCAGAAGGGTGGGTTTACAGGAGTACATCTGAATTTATATCTACAGTTAACTTACCTGTTGCTAGCAATTTGGGAGTAGTTGTTGCTTAATATGTCTGGTAGCTTATTTTCATTAATAAGATATCTTGCCATATCACATAGGTTACTATACTGTCTATCTGTATATTCTTCAGTAAGTAGATAATTAAACACAGTGTTCAAGATTGTGACCATAGGACTGACCACATACTTTGCATTTGGTTGATCATCATCTGTGTCTCTGTCACACTGCCAGACATACACTACCTAAGCCTGGCCACTACAACATCTGTCAGTCTGTCTACATTGCAAGTTGCTCCATAAACATACTTATATGCATTCCAGGCTTCTAACTGCATTCCTATAAAATTCAGTTTCATTATTTACTTCTCTCCTAATATTATTCCTGGTGCTAGACACAGATACACCAAAGTTATACTCTACATTTTCTTTCAGTGTTATTGAATACCATGTAACCATTTATGACTATTTACACTGGACAAAAAACAGATTTGTCTGTCACTGCTATAAATGTATATGCAGTTTATTAACTCAAGTATGTTGATTTCAAAAATTGAAGTCAGAGTCACCCTGGCAGGTCAGGATTTTTACTTAAATATTTTTTTGTAATGTATTGTTTTATTAAAAATCAAGAATATTGCACAATTGATGTATGTACATGCTATTTAATTGGAATCAGCTTCTCAGGAATACTCAAATTGTATGAAAAATTTTTCCAATTTTTATGTAGCCAAAACAATCCTTATGTGTTGGATCAATTCTGATTTCAGATTTTAAGGCTACATACATGTACTTAAATTAGTTTAAAATGTACACTTTTAGCTCATTAGCAGATTTATTGTCCATTATCATCATTTTGAACCACAGGCACTACATGCCCACACACTTATCTCATCCTCTGCCAAACCGTTTACCACTTACGTAAATCCGTGTGTTTTTAAAAAATTATTTTATTAAAAAAATTGTCCCAGCAAAGTCGCACCTCCAAATATTGAAATCGAGGTCATACTGGATACATACTGCTAGATATTTTACATCATGGTATCGCTTCTACTTAAAGATAACTGACTTTGAAACACTTTCTTCTATTCCTGTCTTCATAGCAGATTACTGTATTATTTTTTGTCAGTATTGCTGTGATAGTGAATGTCATTTGTATTGACAGCTCTAATAACCTTTTTTTCCTTTAACTGTTCATAATATAAATAAGTACCTGTAATTAAATCTCATTATCTACTATAGTATGGTACTGAATTATTCAGGAATACAATACATGTACGTATATTATACATATATTTATTCTAAAGTACTGTACAGTGGACCCTCGACCAACGATATTAATCCGTTCCTGAGAGCTCATCGTTAATCGAAATTATCGTTAGTTGAGTTAATTTTCCCCATAAGAAATAATGGAAATCAAATTAATCCGTGCAAGACACCCAAAAGTATTGAAAAAAAAATTTTTTACCACATGAAATATTTATTTTAATACACACAAACTGAAGAAGACATGTACAATTACATGACACTTACCTTTATTGAAGATCTGGTGATGATTGATGGGATGGGAGGAGGGGAGAGTGTGGATGGTGTTAGTGTTCAGAAGGGGAATCCCGTTCCATTAGGACTTGAAGTGTCGAGTCCTTTTCCGGGGTTACTTCCCTTCTTTTTTTAATGCCACTAGGACCAGGTTGAGGGTCACTGGACCTCTGTCGCACAACATATCTGTCCGAGGCCTGTACCCGTTCCTTTATGACATTCCTAAAGTGTTTCACAACATTGTCAGTGTCATAATTAAACAATGTCAGTGTCATAATTAAACACTTGTTCAGGTTTCAATTCTTCACTGTCTATGTACTCCTTGAATTCCTGTACATATTTTTCAGCTGATTTTTGGTCCGAACTGGCAGCCTCACCATGCCTTATCACACTATGTATGCCACTACGATTCTTAAATCTCTCAAACCAACCTTTGCTGGCCTTAAATTCACTCACATCACCACTAGTTGCAGGCATTTTTCTAATTAAATCGTCATGCAACTTCCTAGCCTTTTCACATATGATCGCTTGAGAGATGCTATCTCCTGCTATCTGTTTTTCGTTTATCCACACCAATAACAGTCTCTCAACATCTATCACTTGCGATCTCAGTTTCAAAAACGTAGGTGCAACTTTGGCAAGACAGCTTCCTTGATTGCCATTTTCTTGGCCACAATAATAGCAATGGTTGATTGGGGTTTTGTGTATAACCTGGCCAGCTCAGAGACACGCACTCCACTTTCATACTTAGCAATAATCTCTTTCTTCATATCCATAGTAATTCTCACCCTTTTTGCTGTAGGGTTGGCACTAGAAGCCCATGGTGACTTATTTTGCAGGTGCAATCACTAAAAACGCTGTGATAATATGAAATGTTCCAATTGTATGTTTAGATGGGACCACGGTGGCTGGCTGGCTTGTAAACACTGGCCACAAGTGGACGCGTCTCGAACGGAACGAATCGTGTTGGTCGAGTTTTTTAGCGCTAGGCGAAGCAAAATTTTTGCGTTAAAATGTATCGCTGGTCAGATTTAATGTTAGACGATGCCATCATTGGTCGAGGGTCCACTGTATACTGTAACTGTATTTTGAGTTTGCAATAAATTAGATGAGTTGGTACAACTGGTACTGTGCAAGTAACTTAAAAATCCCTTGTAGAATTTACAGGAAATGTATACTGGAGGATATACTTTATGCTTGGTAGGTATGCTCCTGTAGATGGAAAAAAATGACATTTTGTTTGGTCTGTCATTTTATTTTTATTTCTTTTCATGCTTACATTACATGGACCAGGTACAGTACATGAAGCTTTTGCAAAGATGATTCAATATAATGATTCCAAATGATAAAAGGAATGGATATACTGTACTCCTGATGTTATCACCAAATAAACCCTTTAGAGATGTAAGGATTCAGCATTCTTAGGTACCCTTAATTTATATTAAAATTTAAAGGATAATAAAATGGAATTATCCAAAAGTGTAAAATTAGATGAAAATAAGTAAATCTGAGTAGTGGCTGGATATAAATTAACAAAATCGAATGTAGTGCTGTTAGCCAAATGAAAGATGTGGTTTTGTAAAATAGCATTAAGTAGGGGTAAGCATAGAAGGATGTAGCGATCAGATGTTCAATAGATGGTAAGTATGAGCTGTTTTAGTGCACTGAAAAATTGCAAACTAGTTAAGAGATTACATGATTTAAACTTTAGGCTTTTATTACATATGCATGGAAATGAAAAGCTGCATTATGTTTGTAGACCAGTTGAACCCTCTTATCCACTGCATTTATATTGATCTCTGTTGTGTCTTTGCTGACTGGGAATACACGAGTGTTTTGGTTTTTCGCTGATCATTGTAATAATCAGCTCAAGACCAAGAGGTTTGTAAGTCCTCTTTCAGTGACAGATGGAAACAAATGAATATGTAGGTAGTATATGTGGAAGCTTGATGGTAATTTGTGCAGAATGTTGATGCTAAGATTCTTAAACTACATGCTTGAATTGGAGAAACCTCTTACGTAGATAAAAGTATACTGCAAAACCTTCTGTTTCATGCACACCTCTTAATGATTATCCTATTACCCTTCCTGCATAGTTGCTGACATAGGGTTATAAACTATAATGTTAATGTGTTGCACTGAGGCCAGGGAAAATGTTGCACGTTCATAACATGATTTCAAGTGGTCGGATGTGAGTATTTTTTTCGCTATATCAGTGGCATGTACATTATATTACAGAATTGGCATGCATTCTTAAGTAGGTGTCCCTTGTTTTATGCGGTATAAGTGTTCTAGGCCATAAACACTTATTTGAGCACAATGAGAATCTTTAGTATGCTTTATAAGCTATGCTGACTGAATACAGCAAATGTATATTGCATATACACAATTAGTAATAGAACCAGGACATTGCATAATAACAGATTCACATAAAGCGATGGACACTTGTACTGTACTAAAAAATATTTGTATTTCCTTATTTTTAAATACCTATGCCAGTACGTTATAAAAATTTATTTTCAACATATATTAACTTATAACTTATGTATGATAAATTTTTTACAGTAACGCTCAAGCCACTTAGAATAAACTGCATGAAGAAATGCTGTAATTTGTAATGGTATAAATGAAGTTTTCTTTTATATTTTGCTTTAAATAGAAGTACTCTATACAGTTTCAAGAACTATTTACAGTTTTAACCTGGGAAAACATTTCCATCTAACCTTTTACATTTAATTTGTTCAAAACATTAACAGTACATTGTAGAGGAGTAAAGTTTCTATCTGAATTTAGAATTGAATTACCATATGTATTTTGTATGTACAACTGTACACTGTGTGCATAGAGTGTATGATATATAAATGCTGTGTGTGTGTGTGGGGGGGGGATGGTGTAGGTGTAGTTACCTATTTGTAGTTACTGTCTTCCCTACAAATTCATGGGAAAGGTTCCTTGGGATCCTGTGAAGGACACTGCAAATAATATTTAAGATTTGAGTTCATTTTATGTTTCAGATACCATATCTCTGTAAATATGCAGCACTGATCTTATGTGGTTAATGTTGACATTCATAAGAAATAATGACCATAAAAAAAATGGGGCGTCATTGAGCCAGAAAGAATGTTGGATAACTGAATCTTTTTGGCAACTGCCCTCAAATAAAAGTTGGATAATCAAAATCTGTGAATATGAAAACTCTTGAATTTGTGGGGATGAATGTATTCTTTTGTAACTAAGGCGCAGATCTATGCTTATGTCCTTTATTTAATAATTTTTTCAAATTACATGTGGTTTTACTACAGTAACACCCTCGATATAACTAACTAATAAGGGATGTCTGATATATCTGAACAATGTTAAAAAATAGCAATAAAATGCACTAAAGTACTCTACTGTATATACCTAATATAGCACTTACCACAAATTACAGATACACTGCAGTAAACATTGAAAATAAATAAAAGTACAATTTACCCAGTGGATTTTGCCCAGTTTTAACCCTTTCAGGGTTTCCGACGTACTAGTATGGCTTACGCACCAGGGTTATTGACGTACTAGAATGCTTAAATTCTAGCGCCTTCAAATCTAGTGAGAGAAAGCTGGTAGGCCTACATATGAAAGAATGGGTCTTATGTGGTCAGTGTGCACAGTATAAAAAAAATTCTGCAGCACACAGTGTATAATGAGAAAAAAAAAAAACTTCGACCATGTTTTTGGTTTAAAACAGTGACTTTGCAGTGTATTTTTGTATAGTATTTATGGGTGTATTCTAGTTTTCCTGGTCTCATTTTATAGAATGGAAGACATTTTACAGAAATTGAGATGATTTTGATTGGTTTCACAATGAAAAGTACCTTGAAATTGAGCTCAAAGTAGCAGAAATGTTCGATTTTTACCAAATTTCAAAAGTAAACAAATCATGCCAAGTGTCCAATACACATCAACTGGTGAGTCTAATATTCTTCCACAAGTGCACTGACATTATTTATACCATTTCTACACCATTTCTACACTAATGCAGTAATCTGCATAACAGTAAATCTTCTATTTTTTTGTGAGAATAAAAATTCAAAGTTGAAAGCAAAACAGATGTAAGAGGGGCCTGGGGACATGACTAATGAACAAAGAAAATGTTATTTTAGTTCCAGGAATCTCTGTCTTGCTTATTCTGGATCCTATTTGGAAATTGGTGTCTTCTGAAATTTGTGTGAAATTGGCAAAATTGCCAATTTCTGACCACTTTATTGGATACTTGAAATCGGTAAATGGGTGGTTTCTTGTACTCATTCCATAGAAAAAATGGAGCTCTAACCAAATAGATATGATTTTTGTCAACTAGTACACTGAAATTGGTTGAAAATAGGGCTTAAATTGGGCAAAATTGCCGATGCGTAAACATCGTCGAGACCGCTAACTTCGCGAGAGCATAACTCCGTAAGCTTTCCATCAAATTTCATACTTTTGGTGTCATTATGCTCGGGAAAAGATCATCATTTCATAAGAAAAAAATAATTTTTTTTTTTCCGAAAAATTTTCGACCCTGAGAACGAGATTAGGAGAGGGCCTCTCGACCCTGAAAGGGTTGAAAGTCTATTATATCAGCATCTATTATATTGAAGGTTTACTGTATTTACTACCTCCTCTTGTAAGCTATCTCATTGTACTGCCATTCTGTTAGCAACTGTTTAGTATCCTTATTAATGATGTTAGGAAATCTTCCTAGTCTATTCTTTTGTATTTGTTTATTATCTTATGTGATTATGTCTTCTCTTTTCTTCCTGTCAACTAATGAGGAGATATCTAATGCTTTGAAAACTTACCCATAATTAAAGCCGTTAATTTACGTAAATTTAGCATCATCAGGGCAAGTGGTAGTCCTTGGGGCATCCCACTTTCTTACCATTGTTAGCATATTTCTTTTAATCAGACAACATAAAATCCTCAGTAATGGTTGCTTCCTACAGTATGTTTTGTAGTTTTCAGATTAATCTTTCATTAGGAACTCTGTTTAAAGCATTCTTGAAATCTAATTACAGTGGACCCCCGCATAGCGAACGCCTTGCATAGCGAACATTCCGCATAGCGAACGCTTTGTCTGCTAAAATTTTGCCCCGCATAGTAGACAAAAACCCGCTCAGCGAACTTCGTTCGAGACGCGTCCAATGTGGGCCCTCAGCCAGCCTCACATGTGCCGCCCGTCCCATTGTTTACCAGCTAGCCTCCGCGGTAACATTCAAGCATACACTCGGAATATTTCGTATTATTACAGTGTTTTCGGTGCTGTTTGTGGAAAATAAGTGACCATGGGCCCCAAGAAAGCTTCTAGTGCCAACCCTACACCTCAAAGGGTAAGAATACCCATTGAAATTAAGAAAGAAATCATTGATAAGTATGAAAGTGGAGTACGTATCACCGACCTGGTCAGGTTGTACAAGAAACCAAAATCAACCATCGCTTCTATTGTGGGCAAGAAAACGGCAATCAAGGAAGCTGTTGTTGCCAAAGGTTTAACTGTGTTTTCGAAACAAAGATCGCAAGTGATGGAAGATGTTGAGAGACTCTTATTGGTGTGGATAAATGAAAAACAGCTAGCAGGAGATAGCGTCTCTCAAGCGATCATATGTGAAAAGGCTAGGAAGTTGCATGACGATTTAATTAAAAAAATGCCTGCAACTAGTGATGATGTGAGTGAATTTAAGGCCAGCAAAGGTTGGTTTGAGAGATTTAAGAAGCGTAGTGGCATCCATAGTCTGATACGGCATGGTGAGGCTGCCAGTTCGGACCACAAAGCGGCTGAAAAATATGTGCATGAATTCAAGGAGTACATAGAAACAAGGACTGGAACCTGAACAAGTGTTTAATTGTGATGAAACAGGCCTGTTCTGGAAGAAAATGCCAAGCAGGACCTACATTACTCAGGAGGAAAAGGCACTCCCAGGACATAAGCCTATGAAAGACAGGCTTACTCTTCTCATGTGTGCCAATGCTACTGGTGATTGCAAAGTTAAGCCTTTATTAGTGTATCACTCTGAAACTCCCAGAGCGTTCAGGCAAAAGAATGTCCTCAAGGATAATTTGTGTGTGCTGTGGAGGGCAAACAGTAAGGCATGGGTCACTAGGGAATTTTTCTATAACTGGTTACACCATGCATTTGCCCCAATGTGAAAGATTACCTAACTGAAAAGAAATTAGACCTTAAGTGCCTCCTGGTGTTAGACAATGCCCCTGGTCATCCTACAGACGTGGCAGAGCGACTTTATGGGGACATGAGCTTCATTAAGGTGAAGTTTTTGCCTCCTAATACCACTCCTCTCCTGCAGCCCATGGACCAGCAGGTCATTTCCAACTTCAAGAAACTGTACACAAAAGCTCTGTTTCAAAAGTGCTTTGAAGTGACCACAGACACTGGATTGACTCTAAAAGAGTTTTGGAAGGATCACTTTAATATCCTCAGTTGTGTAAACCTTATAGGTAAGGCTTGGGAGGGAGTGACTAAGAGAACCTTGAACTCTGCTTGGAAGAAACTGTGGCCAGAATGTGTAGACAAAAGGGATTTTGAAGGGATTGAGGCTAACCCTGAGAGGAGTAGTATACCAGTTGAGGAATCAATTGTGGAATTGGGGAAGTCCTTGGGGTTGGAGGTTAGTGGGGAGGATGTGGAAGAGTTGGTGGAGGAGGACAATGAAGAACTAACCACTGATGAGCTGATAGATCAACTTCAAGAGCAAGAGGCCAGACCTGGGGAAACTGGTTCAGAGGAGGGGAGAGAGAAATTGAAGGAATTGCCTACTTCAAAGATTAAGGAAATGTGTGCAAAATGGCTTGAAGTGCAAACCTTTTTTGATGAAAATCACCCTCACACAGCTATTGCAAGCCGTGCTGGTGACTATTACAATGACACTGTTGTGAAACACTTTAGGAAAGTCATAAAGGAACGAGAGGTACAGGCCACTATGGACAGATATGTTGTGCGAAAGAAGTCCAGTGACTCTGAAGCTGGTCCTAGTGGCATTAAAAGAAGAAGGGAAGTAACCCCAGAAAAGGACTTGCTACCTCAAGTCCTAATGGAAGGGGATTCCCCTTCTAAACACTAACACTCTCTCTCCCCTCCTCCCATCCCATCAATCATCACCAGATCTTCAATAAAAGTAAGTGTCATGTAATTGTGCATGCCTTTTTCAGTTTGTGTGTACTAAAATTAACATTTTTTTGTGGTAAAAAAATTTTTTTTCATACTTTTGGGTGTCTTGCACGGATTAATTTTATTTCCATTATTTCTTATGGGGAAAATTAATTCGCATAGCGAACATTTCGCATAACGACCAGCCCTCTTGCACGGATTAAGTTCGCTATGCGGGGGTCCACTGTAAATGTAGTGTACCCATCCATTTCTTTACTGAATAATTTTGGTGACTGTTATAGGAGCTTAATATATTTAATATACAGGTGTTTACTGATCAAGAACTAAAGAGTTTGCTATGCAACTTGCAGCCTCTCAATTGTCTTGTTAAATGCTTCTCCCCCATATGTTGCTGAATGATGCACTCTATGTATTCACAGTTCTAAGTAGCTACAGAATATCACTTTTATCTTGAATTTCTTGCACTGCAATGTTAGACATTTATGCTAGTGATTTTAATTTTTCTAGTTTGTAGTGATTCTTTGCCCAATAGAACAAAGTTTTTACCTTTCTTTCCACTCTCTCTCATCTCCAGGTGTAATTAATCTTTAATGTTGTTTCATATAGAAAATGTACATTGTTTTAATGTTTGCTTTCAGTTACAATGTCAGACTTCTCATTTATAATTCATTATCCCTTAATTCTAGTCTTTTTGAGATCACTCCATCTGTGTTTGCATACACAGTATTTGTATCCGAATTGTATTTATCTATCCCCCCTTTTTTTATCCATCCTCTGGTTTTTGAGATACTGCACTATGTTTGATAATACTAGTTTGATATTATTACTCTCTAGTAATTTTCTTTTCTTGCTAATTTTTCATTACTAAACTTTTTGGCAGTGTGTATATCTTTTATTTTTGTCATTTCCTCTTTTAATAAGTCTTGTCTAATGGTTAAATTTTTGTAGCCTTCCTGTTTCTTTGTCTCTTATGTATGTTTGACCTATACATATGTCAGTTTTTTTTTTTTTTTCCATTTTGCCTATACTGCTGTGCTGTTGTCTCACTCATTTGTTCTGTTTCCTCATTCTTTGTCCGTTTTTGATGTGATTTCTTTTTTCAGAGCCAGCTGAAAATAATGGTCATTTTCATCTGACAAGAATACAGTAGTTGAAGTAGTCATTTCCTTTACCTCCTCTCTGTTCATTCTGTTCTTAATTTAATTTCATTGCAGGCTGTGACTGTGTTTAAGTCTTCCAAACTTCTATTGATATTCAATATGTAGTCTGCGTGTGTGTATTATATACTGTATATACAGTCAACATACTTGTATACACTTGTTTTTGTTCTCTTCTATATTCCTTAACATTTGTCACTGTAGTGTATCCTCTTCAGTCCCTTTGGAAAACATGGGTTTTGTATACATTTATTAAAGTGAAAAGAAAATTTTGAGGTTAGGTTTGAATGTATACAGAAGTGGTATTGATATTAAGAGAGATGACTGTTAATGTTATAAATGAAATGAAGCTGGCTGTCCTAGCATTAAGTGAAATGTAATTCAGTAAGGTGAGAGTGTTTGAATAGGAAGGAATAAATGGATCAAATCTGGTGTATTCATGATAACGAGGGCTTAGAAAAAAAAGGAGTTGTGGTAATGTTAAATGAAAATATATGGAAAGAAAAGAGGGGCAAGTTTGTTTAAATTAAAAAAAATATTAGTATAACATGAGAAGTGGGTTGTGATTTTTTTATGCAAATAGAGGTGAGAGATATGTACAATGTATGAGAGATTATGGAATTCTGGGAGGTGTTAAGTGAATGTTTAGGAAATTTCGAATTAAATGAAAGAATGATTGTTCTGGGGGACCTTAATGCTCTAGTACCATTTTAGTAGAGTACATATTGTAATAGAAAAGTTTTGAATGCCAGGGGTAATGACAATAGGAGTGTTTAATTAATAGCAATTGTATTTAGAAAGAGAATGTCTCAGGAAATGTTGGAAAGAGGGTAGGAACTTTAGCATTCAGTAGATACTTATGAGTGTGTTAGATCAGAGTAAGTAGAGACAAGCAATTTTTGAGATTTGACGTGCTGTTGAAGTTGAGCAAGGTAACATCAAGGGAGGGATTCAGGGTAACCAGTTAGATAGATTGAGGTTAAAAGTCAGTCAGCCATTTCTAAACATATGAACAATGAGAAAAAGTTTTCAGCTCAGCATATCATGAATGTGTTAATGCTTCTAAGAGTGAGTACTGTACAAGCCATGGCAATCGTTTCATTATCTTTACAGGAGGAGAGTATATCATCTGTAATGTGTGTAAGGATCCAAATACCAGTATAGATCCATTGCTATCTTTTTTATGCTGTTTTCAAAACTCCTTCCACCACATACAAGACAGATCAAGAAATACATCATTATTCACCAGTAAAAGCTTGCAAAGGGAGAAGAAAGGCAAAACCTACAACTAGAAATGGGATTAGATGGATATGCCGAGTCATCTGCAATATGGTTATCATTCAAGACTATTTTACAAAAATGGAAGAAACACTGCAGTACTCTTCATTCATTAGCAACTCAAATTATGGGGATGGAAAGGTAAGGTTGCTGCTCACTTGAATAGATTAAGTAGAAGCTTTATATCAGTTATCATTTATGCTGCCTTTAAAATGGGGCTAATACAGCCTCTCCTCGCTTAGCGACCTACTCGTTTACTGGTGGCTCGGACTTACGACGGGGTCTCTGACCAGTATGCCTACCTAAATAATGTATATTATTACAATATACAGTACACTACTGTATAAACATTTAAAAATATGCCAGAAATGTTATAAATGGTGCAAAAGTGACATTAAAACAATATCAAAGATGGTTAACACTAACTCACTACCAGTATAGTATGCTCCTCACTTAGCGGCGAATTTGTTTACCACCGTGGTCTTAGGAACGGAACTCCATCGTTAAGTGAGGAGAGGCTGTATTTATATGGGTCTTAGATTAAAGTGGTGATTAACACCAAAAACTATGTAAATAGACAAGAATGCAAGTTTAAGACATTTACTAGGGAGATGTTTCACCCACCATTAAGGTGATGCATCACCTTAATGTTGTGTACGTGTCTTTTTATGTGCATATATGGAGCTCCACATACTGTATTGAAGGATGGAAATTATTTTTTGACAGGTATTTCAGGGGGTGGTGTGCCTTAATCCATGGAATTGGAGCTACCTCTCTCCTTCCTCAGATATAACCTGGTTACTTCCCTGGCACTGTATGGGTTTAGCATTTCCTCATGAATACAGTACTTTTTGGGGAAAAATAATGAATTCAAACATATAACCCCTGTATATATACTGTGCAAGCAAACAGTTATATGATATATATATGTATGTCAGTTATTAAAACCCATGTGGTATACTGTTATACAGTAAGCTCTCTTATAAAGCTATTCTGTATAGTGCAACTTTTTGCAAATGCAACTGAAAAAGTACATCCAGAATTAAATAACATGTACTGTGAATGTCTTTCTAGGAGCTGTTCAGTTGTTGATGTGATTCTTCAATCACATTTACAAAAAGTTGCTCTATATAGAGGGGGTTTATAGGAAAGCATACTGTAAAGCACTTTTTTATGTTACTAGGCAACATGTATGTCAACTCAACCTTTATGTCAATTCATTGGGTTACCTTGACACTAGTGCTGAGCTCTTGATCCACAGAATTGGCAGTACCGTCTCTTTCTTTGTGTCAAACCTGATTGCTTCCTATTTCCTTTTATGTAACAAGGGAATTGTGGGATACATCTTTCTTATCACTTCCGGTCAAGCAGATTCCCACCTTATATCTGAGCATCTTAAGGATCACTTTCTGGCAAGGTACTGTATGACCCCTAGAGGAGGGCCCTGCTTTAGAGCACTTCACTTTACAGCATTTCACTAATGCAGCAGTTTTCAATTATACCCATTCTTCATTTATTCAGACTTCCTACAATAAATATATTCACCACTCACTGTAAGTTAAGGATGAAAATATTTTATGGGAAGTAATGTGCATATTTCAGGCCTAGCTCTTCTGCTCACTTAATGTATGATAGTGTAAAAATGTTCTTTCTTTCTTTCAACACACCGGCTGTATCCCACCAAGGCAGGGTGGCCCAAAAAGAAAAACGAAAGTTTCTCTTAAATTTAGTAATTTATATGGGAGAAAGGGTTACTAGCCCCTTGCTCCCTGTAAAAATGTTATCAGGTTTTAATATACATTTGAAAGTAAAAAAAAAAAAAAAAGGCTATGTTTCACTTTACAGTGGTAGCCCAGAACCAAACCTGCTGTATAAGCAGGACCTTAACCTGCTGTATAAGCAGGGCCCTAACCTGCTGTATAAGCACTTCCTATGAATAATAGTGATAATCAACCTTTATGCAGTTACATTTACTGTGTGCATAGTAATGATATCATGGGCATTTATATACGTAATGTATGCTTGAATATCCCAGTTTTCCATACAAGCAGAAGCTCATGATGACTACTACCTGAGTACTAACACCTTGCATCTTAATCCAGGTATAGATAACAATGTATCAGAATTAGTGCATCAACTCTCACAGGAGTCATGTATAATTCGGCTAACCCTTTCAGGGTCCAAAGGCCAAATTTCAAAGTGCGTACCAGTATCCAAGAATTTTCAAAAAATAATTTTATTTTTTCTTATGAAATAGTAGAGAATCTTTTTCTGAAGGTAATAAAACAAAAAGTACAGAATTTGATGGAAAATTGATGAAATTATGCTCTCACGAATTTTCATGTGTCAGCGATATTTACGCATCGGCGATTTTGCTGACTTTGACTACCATTTTAGGCCAATTATATTACTCCAGTCGACCAAATTCTTAGCTATTTCACTAGCATTACTTTTATTGATTGAGCACAAGAAATCACCAAGTCAACTGTTTCAACTACAAAATAAAGTGATCGGAAATTGGTAATTTGGCCAATTTAATGCAAAGTTCAAAATTTTCTAATTTCAAAATACGGTCTAGAATAAACAATGCAGGCATTCCTGGAACTAAACTAACGTTTCTTCTGTTCATTAGTTACGTTTTCAGGCTTTACAAATGAATTCCATTTTGATTTTTTATTCACATAATGAATTTTTATTCAAACCAAAAACCAGAAGATTTACTGTTATGCAATACTGTAATAATTGTATAATAATATCACCACATTTGTGAATGTATATTAGACCCACCTGCTGGCGTGTATTAGACGTGTGGGATCATTTGTTTACTCTTGAACAACATTTCTGCTATTTTGAGCTCAGTTGCAACCCATTCCATTGCTAAAACCAATCAAAATCATCTCTATTTCTGTAATATATCTTCCATTCTATCAAATGAAACCAAGAAATCGCAAATACAACTATAAAAAACATATGAAAAAACACTGCAAAATCGCTGTTTTAATCGAAAATTACAGTCTCGTTTTTTTTCTCTCATGCACTGTGTGCTGCAGGATTTGTTTTGTGGTGCACACATACCACATAGATGTATTCTCTCATATCTAGGCCCAAATTTACCTCTCACAGCTTACCAGAGTGAGCTGAGCTCATGGCGTAGATCTACGGTTTGGACCCTCAACGTATAGCCGTAGATCTACGGCACGGACCCTCAAAGGGTTAACAGACAAAATCAGTGGCCAGACAGCATTTGGAAGCAACTGACAAAGTCTGTTCAATGCAGAATTGTCCATTATTCTTACAATCTGCTAGGTTAATTAATTTTGAATTTAATGGACAAAATCTAATCAGAATTTTCCATTATTATTATAATCAGGTGGCTCTAAACCCATAAGGGTCATATAACGATAGGTACCTGTAAATCCATCGATTTTTTTTTTTCCAAATTTTTAGGTGTGAATAATAAGAGTACTCATGAGCATGTCACTATAAGCACTCCTAGTGTTCTTGTTATTTTTGGTGAATTTAGACTATTTGTAGTGAGTGCTTAAGAAAGAAATAGCTTTATAGTATATTAACTTGTTATAGAACAATGGTAAATTTAAACTAAGCATTAAATTTGAGTATATTTATGGCAACGCTAGTTACTGTCATTTAGTAACATATATGTGTTAGTAATGTGCATGAAGTACATTTTAATACATAATTAACTTTACAGGTGTGATAAGGCTAGAATCAACATGCCTCAGGATACATTCCTAGCAGTCAGGATCACCATCGAATCCAAGATAATGGAAGAACTTCATAACCTCGCAGAAGATATGTAAGCATGTTACAAGATGGGTGAAGACACACACACATCTGCACAAGCCTTTGTTATAATGTTTTCTCATCATAACAAGATAAAGCTCCCCTTGAGAGAATTGCTGTTATAATGAAAGCTTATGCTATTTTGCCTCTCTTCATTCATACATCAGCTCACATCCTCTCCCACCTAACCCTCTTAAAATCCTGATCATAATGTTTAGTAGTGTGGGTTATATACCACGCTGTATAGTGACTTCACTGGAAAGTCAGTGCTTATTTTATTCAAGGTGCTTTGATGCTGGTGGAGAGCCCTTGTTCCAAAAAACTGGAGATACCTTCCCCTTCATTGATTCAAAGCTAGTTGCCTCCCATTTCTCAAGTGCTGTGTGGTCCTCACAGCACCCTTGTATATAATAATCCGAGTACGGCATTATATAGTACAGCCTCTCCTCACTTAGCGACGTGCTCGTTAACCGACGACTCAGACTTACGACGAGTTCTCTGACCAGTATGCATACCTAAATAATGTATATTAGAGCTGATTTCCTCTATTCGGTGTATTACAATATACAGTGAAACCTTGGCTTTCGTCATTAATTCGTTCCAGAAAGTCTGACAAAAACTGAATTCGACAAAACCTGAAGCAATATTTCCCTTAAGAAATAATGTAAATCCAATTAATCCATTCCAGACATGCAAAAGTATTAACAAAAAATGCATTTTATAGAGATAACTATAGTTTTACAGAAAATAGAAATAAATATAGAGGACTACTGAAATGGATAAATAAACATCGAACATCACTTTTACCTTTATTGAAAACTTGTTGGCGTATGGAAGGTGGCGAGGAGGGGAGAGGGAGGAGAGGTTATCTCTGCCACTGTCACTACCACCCTCTACCACAATTACTACCACCCTCTGCCACCATCACTACCACCCTCTACTACCATCACTGCTGCCCTCTACCACCATCACTACCACTACCACCATCACAACCACTGCCACCCTCTACCACCATCACTACCACCCTGTACCACCATCACGACCACCCTCTGCCACCATCACTACCACCCTCTACTACCATCACTGCTGCCCTCTACCACCATCACTACCACTACCACCATCACAACCACTGCCACCCTCTACCACCATTACTACCACCCTGTACCACCATCACTACCACCCTCTACCACTATCACTACCATCCTCTACCAATGAGAAACAAAGCCAGACTGACTCAGAATGCTTGGGATGCTTTGTGTGGGTGCGGGCAGACACATTCAGTACGGCAGACCACTGCCAACCAGACAAAAACCAAGGCGATGAACGAAAACTGAATCCGATGAAAACCAGGGCAAATGAAAACCGAGGTTCCACTGTACAGTACACTACTGCATAAACATTTAAAAATATACTAAAAATATTATAAATGGTGAGAGGGTGACATTAAAGCAATATCAAAGATGGTTGACATAAACCCACTACCATTATAGTAAGCTCCTCGTTTAGCAACGAACTTGTTAATCGACGCGGTATTAGGAACGGCATTCCATCGTTAAGTGAGGAGAGGCTGTACTGTACTGTATTAATGTGCACAATAATTTGATCGCTATGTGATGGAGGTGCTCACAGTTCATTTTCCAAAACTGGGATATACTACTTGGTTTATAGTGTATTTATTTATTTTTAATACACCAGCCACCTCCCATCAAATTAGGGTGACCCAAATAAGAAGTAATGTTTGCACCTTCATTCACCGAATCACTGTCTTGCCAGAAGCATGCTGGCATCACAGCTCAGATGACACTGAACTACATCCCCGCCACTCCTTTAGGACTCAGGTCTGGCTAACTAGTTTCTCTGACTCCCTTCACAAATGAATTTATGCAGAATTCATTGTAATTATTCATTTTTTTTTGTGATGTATGCTAATTACTTACATTTTCTTAATCAGTAGCCAATCTTCACTCCACAAGTGGTTGACCAAAACTAATTCATTAAAAAGATGCTGTACTGTGTAGAGTACATTTTACATCTTAATCAATTTCCTCCATAATAAGTATAATCATGAGTTATGAGACCTTGAATATTTTTTATGATTAATTATTGTAATTCACTTATATTATTAATAATTTATAAGCCTTTTAAGTTACAATATGAAAAGTTTCTATGATACAAGAATTATACATGGAAGGCAAAGTATGTCAAATTCAAATTGTTTATTGCCTTGCAAGTTTACAATATGGTTGACATACTGTAGGAAGTATATTTACATAGGTGGTTTACAGTGAGGGTTTACAATGACATGTAGTGTAAAGAGAGCCACTATCATGCCTTGGCATTACGAGCAGTTTAAACTTAATAGATTACTGATTACTTAACAAATAAATAAAATGGTTAAATGAGTGATGAGGGATTAGAATGAAAAGAATATGAGAATAAGAAGAAACAATTGAAGAAAGATTAAGCAGAGAAAGCTTGAGAAGGAAATAGAATTGACAGTTAATGAACATGGTTAGATATTAGGGGGAAATATTAATAGAATATTTTGAGTTGTTACACGTAGATGAAAGGGAGGCAGTGATTTCATGCATGGAGCAAGAGAAATAATAATTTTATTTCTTTAAAATGTCCGTAGGTACTGTATTAGGAAGAGAGAAGAGCCAGAGGTGAGTATGGAGGAAGTGGGTAGACTTGAAGGAGATACTAAAGCAGATAGGTATATTGTTTTTGAATGGTTAATGTATTTGTTTCAATTTTTTTTACCTCAATGGCTGTCTCCTGCCAGGGCAGGGTGACTCAAAGAAGGAAGTACATTCATCATCATTCATTCAGTTGCTGTCTTGCCAGAAGTGTGGTGACCCATAGTTCAGATTGCTGTATCCTCTGACTGTAACATCCCCACCCCTCATTCAGAGTGCAGGCAATGCCCTTCCCACTTCCAGGACAGTTATACTGTATTCACAAAGAATAATAATAATAATATTTTGTCATTTCCTTCATTAAGTAATTTATATCATTTTACAGACAGGAAATGGAAACTGAGCAACAATCCTTGTCTGCCCTTCTCAGCAGAGTAACAGCTCGTTGTCAGCACTTTCTGGAGCAGAATAATAAGCAGGTAGCAGAGTTCCAACAACTACAAACAATTTACTCCATGAATAACCACATAATCATTCTGATTGCTATGATGAAAGTTCCACTCCATAAGGCACAAATAGACCATTTTCAATCCTTGCAAGACTTTAAGCAGATAAATGTTTTAACCAAACCTATTGAAAATGAAGTGGAAAAAATCTTTAATTTAACTGAAAATCAATAGCTAAAGTATGTGTAATATGTAATTTTGTACTGTACTGTTGCACATTATATTCAAGAAAACAAACTGTTTCACCATCATATGGTTTTGGTACTTGTTTTTAATAATAATAATAATAATTCACCATAATCTGAAATTTTATAAGCATTTTCAAAACCTTGAGTAAAAATGCTATATGATAATATTCATGAGGAAGCATTAAACCTGTAGAGGTCATACAGTGCCTGGTAATTGGGTTTGATCCAAGAAAAGTGAGATTATCTCCATGAACCAAAAGCCATTCATCAGCATCAAGGAAACCCCTTCCCCTTGATGAATGCTTTAGCAACAAGAGGACTCGGTAGCAATGGTTAGCACTAACAAACTTGTATGAAGGTTGCTTTAATGGTGTTACATGTGCATATGTAAAAGTTAACTTCAGGTGGTGTAAAGTGGAACACAGAAAAAAAACAAAAGGCTTGCACTGAAGCTTAAAAAACTTAATGAAAGTTAAAGTAAGAGAAACATACAAAGTGGGATAAGATCTGTCTTTGAATGTTGGAATAATGTAGTTTAAAATATGGCATCACATCATAAGTTAACAGTAATATAGTTCACAACAAACCCACACTGGTGGCAAAACTTTCAGTAACACTTCAGTCTGCTCTGAACCATATAAATTCTTGTTAATGGTCTAAGATAGACCAAAATTCTTAAAGTTTCCTTTCTAGGGTGTAGGTTGTTTGTAAATTGTTCCAGCAACTGTATTGTGGCTTTTATTTATCTTTAATATAACATGGATCAAGCCAAAGATATTAACCAGAATTGGGAAAATTACTCAGCTAATAAATGTCTCTGTAATATAATATTTTCTATTAATGTACAATATAAAATTGCATTTTATGTTGTACAAGGGATACATGTTTATTCTATGTTAACCCTTTGACTGTCGCAACCCCCAATCCTGAGGTGTCTCCTGGTGTCGCAAAATTTAAAAAAAAAAAAATTATTTTTTCTTATGAAATGATAGAGAATCTTTTCCCGATTGTAATGACACCAAAAAAACGAAATTTGATGGAAAACTGACAGAATTATGCTCTCGCGAAGTTAGCGACCTCGGCGATATTTACAAATCGGAGATTTCGCCCACTTTGAGCCCTATTTTCGGCTAATTCCATTGTACCAGTCGACCAAACTCATAGCTATTTCTTTAGAACTCCATTTTTTCTATCGATTGAGTACAAGAAACTGCCCATTTACTGATTTCAACTACCCAATAATGTGGTCAGAAATTTGCAATTTGGCCAATTTCACGAAAATTAAAAAATATGACAATTTCAAAATAAGGTCCAGAATGAATAATGCAGACATTCCTGGCTGTAAAATAACATTTTCTTTGTTCATCAGTCATGTCTCCAGGCCCCTCTGATATTACTCTTGCTTTCTATTTTGAATTTTTATTCAAACAAAAAATAGAAGACTTACTATTATGCAGACTACTGCAATACTGTAATAATTGTATAAATTATATCAACCCATTCATGACTGCATATTAGAATGGCTAGTTGGACATTTATTGGACAATGACATCATTTGTTTACTTTTGAACATTGGCAAAAATCAAACATTTTCCCTACTTTGAGCTCCATTTCCAGGTTCTTTTTATAGTAAAATCAATCAAAATCACCTCTACTTCTATAATATGTTTTCCATTCTATCAAATGAGACCAAGAAAATGAGAATACAACCATAAATACTATATGAAAATAGACCACAAAGTCGGCATTTTAATTAAAAAAAACGGTCAGAGTTTTTTTTTTCTCATTATGCACTGCGTGCTCCAGGATTTTTTTTATATGATGCACACTGACCACACAGACCCATTCTCTCACATGTGGGCCTACCAGCTTTCTCCTGCTTGATTTGAAGCCGCTAGAATTTATGAGTATATATACGTCAAACACGGTACCTCGTAAGGCGTATATATACGGCCGCGACAGTCAAAGGGTTAAATGTGTTATTTATTATATACTTGACTTGGATATTAAATTTATGTAAAATAGTGTATCACAATGGGGATGTATTAATATATTTTATTTCAGTACTTTCACTTATTTAGTAATCAAGAATTTTAATTACACTTGTTGTTCAATGTGCTTGGTTTAGAAAGTTTGTCCCCCTAAAAAAAAAAAAAAAAAAAAAAATATATATATATATATATATATATTATATAAAATATAGGGAGGTACCACCTCTAGAACTATTATGGGGACCCTCATCCTCAGAGAAAAGAATAAACTTGCTTCAGGGAAAACTCAAGACTCTCCCTGAAGCTGTTTGAGAATTTCTCCTACCACCCCTATATTATGTATATATATTTTATTTAAAGACAAAATACATTGACAAAACATTCACAAAAATATGATACAAAGTAAAACAACATAGGTAACTCAGAGCTACATCTCGAATACTTCGTCCAGCTCCCCTGCGTGGGCCGCGTGCCCAGAATGCTGCAGGCATTTCCTCTCTGGATCGCAACACTGAGTCTCTGAAAGAGGAAGCTGGTCGCCCTGTGGTCCTTGGTTTCTATGATGAGCTTTTCACCCAGCTCTTTGAGGAACTTTAGAGCACACTGCCCCATGCTCCAAGGGTCTCCGACCCTATTGGAATGAAGTTATAGCAAGGGGAAAGGTCTTCATATTTTCGGATCTTCTGGGTCTCCCTGTGGCTGGCAGCTCCACCCCCTTCCACTACAGAGTATGGCAAGTAGGTGTCTGCCAATGTGGCAGCACAGGTGTAGTCCCAGGCAATCTGCTTTCCATCCTTCCAGGGTAGCATAGGGGGCTCCATCAGGACGCTTTTGACTTCCATCAGACCTCTGTCTTGGGTTCCCGTGAGCGGGGCAACGGGCTGTGGCGAGGCTTCTCTTTATTATGTCATTGATCTCCTCATGTCTGGCATATTTCCCTTCTGCTGTGTGGCACACGAGACCATGGAGTCCGAATTGATCAGCTGTCGCCCTGCCGCAAATACACCTATGTTCGGTGAGGATGGGGGCGGCTAGGCGAAGAGCAACACCAATCCGAATTGCCTGTGGGTTGAGAGGGGTTGCCCAGGGAGGAATTGGGAACAGCTAACAGGAAATCTCCTGAGTGTGGTGCCTTTCCCACTGCCAGGAGACGAGCTTTGTTCTTTCCTGAAGCATTGGAGAGCATTGTTTTTGGCGATTTTTTCCATGATGGGTTTTTGTCCCATTTGGGACTGTTTTGTGCTGTTTGGGAGGAGCTGGTCTACTGGAGGAGTCTGTAAGGGTGTCCCACTAAATTGCTGCTTCAGTAAACCTGGGGTCTTGAGCTCCTACCAAGTCTCTCAAGCTTTCGGGCACTATCTTCTTGACTAATGCACTGGAACCCAAACACGAAGACAAAAAAAGCAGGTAAAGCAAACATGCTTGCTTTCCCGCACCCCAATACCTCCTAGTCGCACTGGGGGGGTTGCCTGATCCCATTGCTCATCCTCTAGTGACGGGTTTTCCATGCCTTTCTTAAAAGTTGATCTCAGGTGTGCGTCATATTCATCGAGTTTTGGGGTTGTCAAAGAGGGTGCACACCTCAAGAAGTAAGTGAGTCTTGGCATAGTAAGACACCTTGTTGAGGAGATACAGAGCATCAGGGGCATCAAGATCGCTTATTCTCTCCTCCATTCTCATAAGGTCATTCAATTTGTCCCTGAGGACAGTAATCGATGGCCTGGTGACCCAGGGTGCCCCCAAGAGGGTACTGTTGGACGGAGTTGTAGTTGAGATTTCCGGGAGGATTCTTTGCACAGCATTGATTAATTTCCTGGTTCGCTGTGATGATTTCACACTTAGAGGGATTGAGGATGAGTCCCAAGCCTTCTCCCTGTGTTTTCACCAGTTGTAGGTCCCCCACGAGGGACTCTTCAGTACCTGCCAGAGTGCGTCATCCAGGGACCAGATATTGAGCTCACTGCGTAGGCTGGAAGTTAGTTCTCTTACTGCCAAGCAGAAGAGAAGTGGAGCAAGTGGGTCACCCTGCTGAACACCCTCTGATGATTGAATTTCATGTTCTCCAAAAAAAAAGAATTGATGGTTTGCTGTAGCCGGGTGAAATGAAGGGAAAGAGACTGGGGAACCGAACCGAACAGTTGGCAAAACAGCATCTCTCTCACCATATTAAAGGCATTTCTAAAATCAAGTTTGACTATGGCCTTGTCTTCTGGTAGGTCCCTGATGTAGGCCCTTGCCGCATGAGCTGCAGCTTCACTGCCTTGAGAGACCCCAAAGCCCAGTTGGTGTGGCTGGAGTAAAGTGGCAGCTATATATATATATATATATATATATATATATATATATATATATATATATATAATATATATAATATATATAAGTGAACATAGAAAAGAGTAAGGTGATGAGGGTATCAAATGATTTAGATAAAGAAAAATTGGATATCAAATTGGGGAGGAGGAGTATGGAAGAAGTGAATGTTTTTCAGATACTTAGGAGTTGACGTGTCGGCGGATGGATTTATGAAGGATGAGGTAATCATAGAATTGATGAGGGAAAAAAGGTGAGTGGTGCGTTGAGGTATATGTGGAGTCAAAAAACGTTATCTATGGAGGCAAAGAAGGGAATGTATGAAAGTATAGTAGTACCAACACTCTTATATGGTGTGAAGCTTGGGTGGTAAATGCAGCAGCGAGGAGACGGTTGGAGGCAGTGGAGATGTCCTGTCTAAGGGCAATGTGTGGTGTAATATTATGCAGAAAATTCGGAGTGTGGAAATTAGGAGAAGGTGTGGAGTTAATAAAAGCATTAGTCAGAGGGCAGAAGAGGGGTTGTTGAGGTGGTTTGGTCATTTAGAGAGAATGGATCAAAGTAGAATGACATGGAAAGCATATAAATCTATAGGGAAGGAAAGAGGGGTAGGGTCGTCCTCGAAAGGGTTGGAAAGAGGGGGTAAAGGAGGTTTTGTGGGTGAGGGGCTTGGACTTCCAGCAAGCATGCATGAGCGTGTTAGATAGGAGTGAATGGAGACGAATGATACTTGGGACTGACGATCTGTTGGAGTGTGAGCAGGGTAATATTTAGTGAAGGGATTCAGGGAAACCGGTTATTTTCATATAGT